AGGGCTTAGTGTCGGTCCACAATAAGTATTTAATCTTTATTTAATCTTTAAGTAGTAAGAAATTGACCAATCATAGTCGATTATTCTTTTCATATTCGATTATGATTGGTCAATTTCTTACTTCTTAAAGCTTAAATCACCTATTGTGGACCGATACTTTAGAGAACTCTAGAGAAATAAAGATAACGAATAATTCTCAAAACTTGCTATTATTATTATTATTATTATTATTATTATTATTATTATTATTATTATTAATTCTCAGTTATAAAAATGATATTAAAGTGTAACATAAGTATAAAATAATTATTATAAAATATTATAATTACCATAAATTATAATACATATTAATATAATGTATAATATCATGTATAGTACTATGTTTTCGTCGTCGAATATCCAAGTAACCTCTTTAGATAACTAATATTGAATTTATTTAACGTTTTATCCTAAGATTTATTCATTTCAAATAATATTTTATATTGCTAGTTATCATTTCTATTTCCGTACAGTGGAATCGGTTTTTTCTTTTGCATATAGAATTTCTATTTCTTCAATTCAAGCAGAAAAATCCGGTAACGTTTAACTAATGAACTGAATAACATACCGCCCATAGACTGTAATGTATAACGTGTAAACTCTCTTGTCCCGTGTAAATATGTACATAATAATTGAACTATGATCAAATGGCGGACACAGTGATTTCGTTTCAGACTCGCCTTTCTTCGAGAGATCAAATCTTCGCCTAAACGATATTAATTTACGGGGGCAAGCATCGATCCTATAAATAAATTGAAATGTTCAATTTTTTTTCGCCACCATCCCTTGGAATTATTTATTGATTGAACTTGCCCGCATTTCTTTCTGTAAGCTTAATTTGATATCATGCGTTATAAATATAATTGCGTAATAATAAATATCTATACAGATATCGTCCAAATTTATATCCTTAAAATATATGTCATTTTATATAAATGCATGTTTCAGCATTTTTTAAAATAAAGTTTTTTTTCATATTATCGGGGAGAATAAAAAATTTCTTTTACATATATATATATATATATAAATAAGCCAATAAATATGAAAGTAAAAAATTTCATAAATAAATCGAGAGTTTGAGTTTTAATCTTCTAATTTTTCAGATTTTGAAGAAGAATTTGCTAATGTCGATTACTCATATACGTTTAACCACTCACTTCAGGAATTTTCTCATTTTCCACTTCATATCCGATCTGAGCTAACTCAATTCTCCTGTAATTATAGTTGTATTAAATAACAGTTCCAGTAAAAACGAACATGCATGTGTGTGTGTGTGTGTGTGTGTGTGTGTGTGTGTAAAAATATTACAATTTTGAAACTTTTAGATGAACTATCAACTTAAATTTATTAAGATCAATAGTGATTTTAAATACATAAATGTAAAAAAAAAATAAACATTTTTAATATTCTGCAGGATACTTATGCATGTTTCCAATTATATTCGTTAAAAATTTCAGATAAGACAATAGCATAATCTTCAATTTAAAATACAAATTATAGAACTAAACACGATACAAAACGAGTTATTAAAAAATAGTAATTAAGATAAAAAGATAAAAAACTGATAAGAGTATACTTCATACATAAATTTTGTATATCTTTTAATGTTTATTTATTCCTAAAATCTTATACTTCTTTTTAATTAACATTTTTATATTTTAACAGGACAGTAAATACACACTTCTTTTGTCTAAATTATCTTTAAAATCTTCAACAAATAATTTAAAAATACTCAAAAGACTAACTCACTGTTTTAATTACTTTTTATAATTTTTTTTTGAATATCTGTAAAAAAAACTATAGTAACTAGTAATAAGTACAATAGTTCAATAAGTATTAAAACTGACCGTATACATTCATACATTTAAAATCTATCTCCTGAATAAATGAATCATGAACTTGCAACATTTTTCACTCTTTCTCTCTCTGCGAAGCATCATTGAAATATTTCGACATGTATGTCGAAGCAAAACCTCGCAGTATCTACAAAAGGTAGTAATTCCGGGACCTTGCTTACTGCGTTTTACGACCACACTACACACACACACACACACACACACACACACGCGCGCGCGCGCGCGCGCGCGCGCGCGCACACACACGCACACACGACACGTGGTTTTTTTTCCGCGCGCAAATCAACGCAAATGATTGCGAATTCATTGCGGCTCCATCGTTCAACACGTGATGTTTTGCCTCATAATTTTGCAACAAGTCGGGACGCCAATGGCCAAGATGACTTGCCGAAGAGCCCCGGATTCCCGACTCATGCGGTGACATGAAATTATATATATATATATATATATATGTGTATATATGCGGCAGCAGAATGTATTGATAAGAGTACAATTGCCGTTACGTAACAGGCGGTAGCAGCCGCGGTGACGAAGAAGCGTCGGTTGCAGGTCAGTTAGGGTGACGGTTTCTCGATTTCAGGGACATGTCCTCCTTTCTAACATATTCTCAAGAATTCCTCATATTCGTTTTTTTAGGATTCGGTATACGCATATTTCGCGATTTCGAGAGACACTCGGAGATTCTTTGTTTAATTTTTCGTACATTTAACTTTCTATATCTCTATATATTTATTTATTTAAAAAGATTTGTATTTAGAAAAATGTATCTAAACACGTTTGAAAATTATTCTATAGTTAGTTCATCGTGCGTGTTCATCTAAAAATGTATATCTAAAATGTATATTTATATTTGTACCTAATTAGATTTTCCTTAAACTATCTGTGATTGCATTCAGTTATTTGAAAAAGTTTTGATTCAATTATGAGAATGAGTTAAGAGAATGTATTTTTTACAACGCTTAAAATGAACTTAATAAATAGTTCTCTTACATACTTTTTTTATCAATAACTTCTTTGTATCAATAGTAATCAATTATTTTTTACACACACCACACACACACACACACACACACGCGCGCGCGCACACACACACACTACTT